TCAGTGGCTTATGGAAGGACTCAGTTTTACTTCCTGCCTGACCAAATGAATGAAAACAGTGAAGGGTACTAATGTCTGGGCGCCTGTGGTCACAGCCTTCCTGGGGTCCTAGCCTTCAAGATGCTTCCTGCCATCATAGGAAGAAGATGAGAGGCACAAACAGTGTTGCTAAGACTGTCTGGATGTCTAGTAAATGTGGTAAGCCATGAAACAGTAAAGTTGTTTCTAGAATGACTTTTCATCCTGAAAATTAGTTTACAATTGGTGAAAGTATTCAGAAGAAAACCCCAGTACTCTCAGATGCTTCTGTTAAAATCTTAAAGAAGAACACAGATACACACACAGAGTGACACCCATATGTAGATAAATCAAAGTGTGTTGATAAATAATTTCTCAAATTTGACAGAATGACCATGCTTTACACTGCTCCTCTGTTCTTTAAGCATATGGCTCATTTGAAACCTTTTAATAAAGAGATGAAAAAAGTATCCTTTGCTTTGTTAATAATATATATTGGGAAACTGTACTTTGAAATTAAAAATTAATTTAGGGTTTTCAATCGGGCATCAGTAAAACTGTCCTTATGTTCTCTGTTATACCCCACGCCAGCACTTCCTGCAGGCCTACCACCTAACACTAACGTGATTAGAGAGCAGAAGACAGTCCTCTTTTCTACCCTGGTTGCCATCATGAAATCATAGAATCTGGACTAGGGAGCTTATGACAAGAATCCATAAATCAAGATATGTGAAGAGAAGGGATCACACAATGATGTGAAAACCAAGAGACAAGTATCACAGGTGCTTTCTATTTTGGCCTGTTTTTCATTGCTGTAGTAAAATACGTGAGGCTAAACAGTGTATAATGAAAAGAGGTTTATAGCCTGGGAAACAGAGTTCATAATATGACGTAATCGTACCTTTTTGGCTATTGTTGGACGTTCTCCTAGGGGCAGTTCTCTCAGTTACCTAACAGTTTCCATTAGTCTTCAACTCTTGAAGGTCCACTACCTCACCACCAATAACACTAATAACAATGGGCACCAAAATTACAACATGAAGATTTGGGGACCAATCATAATCAAACCACATTAGCCTCTCTATTTCTGTGTGAGTATATATGTGCGTACATTCGATAAATACAAGCAAATACATCTGTATACACATGTGCTTACATATTTACACAGAAGATATATACTCCAAGGGTCTGATTATTGTCTCACTGTGACAAGATAGAACATTCTTGCTACCATTAACAAGACTTAGAGAAAACTCTGACAACTCTCACCAACTCCAAACAGAAAAGCGAGGATGGATAATTCCATTGACTTCATAAATTTAAATTGCACAGTTGAAGTTAATTTTTGTGAAGGGCATGATTTTCACCCCACACATTCTCCAATTTCAGTCAAGAGTCCTGTACTTGGCATCATGACTGAGAAGCCCTCTTATGCGACTCTTCCCAACTCCCACGGCATCCATCTTTGAAACTACTGGTGTTCCTGCCTTGTGTTGTTTTTACTCTCTACTTAGGGACCTGAAATACTGCAGGTGTGCTCTAAAGGACCCCGTCCCTACCGAGTACTGCAGAGTACTCCCTTCTGGACCATGTATGCAGCACAGATCACACTCAAAAATCAATTTCCAAACACAAACCAATTACAAAGAGGTCCTTTACTAAGCAAGGCAAAGAGAAAAGATGAATGAATCATGCAGAAACCGCCCCAAATAGCTTTGCAAGTATTATTATTCTTTTAAAGGGAAAAGGGGAGGTCTGTGTTAGAATGAATTAGGATGTGTTGGTAAATTTTGACTGGATATTTTAATTAGGTTAATCAAAGTAATGAGATTTGTTTGCTGGACCTTGATATTTTGGTAGTTGGACATTGGTGTTCAGTCTCAGAAGTGAGTCAGTGGTGAAATAAGGGAATAGACATTGGTGGCTAGCTTTAGGGGTGCAATCTAAAGGTTTGGCAAGGGAGAGAAGGGTAAAATGCAAAACCCGTTGGTGTCATGTTTGTCAGACCTGGACCTGCTGGAGCCCCTCCTGCTCCCCTAGATTCAAAGGGTGGGAATGAGTGCCTATAGAAAAACGGAGGGTGCCTGGACAACAGCTCTCCATTCCTATCGTGAAGTCATGATGAATTAGCCATGAGTTTCCAACTGAAAATTATTTGATTGAGTTTTTATATGAGCTTTTTTTTTAGATCTTCTGAATAACATAGAACTGTTTCTAAACTAGAAGCACCTCATTTTTTCTGTACAGACGGGCCCTTGGAAATCCTATATGAACACTGAGAAGGAAGAAAGCAAGCAAGAAAGAAGTGGGAACAACGGCCGCTTTGCTGAGAGAACCTGATGAGAGCTACATGCAGACAGAGCCCTGATGGCAATGATTGGATAAGGCTGTGCAGAGAGACTGACCTCTCCCCCTTGCAGTTCAGAACCAATCACCACCCTGATACCTCAAAAATGCAACCATGGTCAAAACCCTTGGGTGGCACCACAAGCCGGTGGTGTCGTAAGGGACCCCATAGCAGGAAAAGGACACAAAATGTGATTGAGTTTTGTGTTATTTTTCATTCCCTACATCTGCATAGTAGAAAACGGGTGTCAATGATCATTTTACCTAATAAATACTTTTTACTCACTTAAAAAAACAAGCAAACTGATCATTGGAATTATTTAATGGGACACTTTTTGATAATAGACTATCCCAGGAATAGTTTTCTTCATGTACTTTTTGCTGCAGAATTTTTCTTCAAATATCAACATCTCTAAATGTTAACAATCTCCACAGTAATTTTCACTATAAATACTACACCAAATTTTGTAGAATAATGTCATTAAATAATAAAAATGTTAACTGAACTTTTAACTTCTCCATTTTGTTGTTTAAAAAATATGAGATCCAATGACACCAAGTGACTTTGAAACTGGTCAACAACTAGTTAATGTCAGAGCTGAGACTGAGCCCCCGCATGCCCCAACTTGGTGCACAGGGCCCTTTCTTCTTATCCAAACCCACACGCACGATGCAAGAGAGCTTTCAAACTGGGGTATGCACACCGCTCCAGGCAATGGCAGAACGCCAGGGAGGTGAAGCCACAGGATAAACACAGGGTGTCTTGCTTCAGTGTAAATATTACTCAAAGATTTGAGAGGAGTTAGGGGAACCACTTTATTTTTATTAAAACAAGATTGATTATAAAGGAGGCTGCACATTCTAAATGCATTTTTAAGATTTCAGGCTCTGTTCCTCTGGCTATCATCCTAGCATATGATGGTAAAAGCCTTCAGCTCATTACTAGGGATGCTTGCTAAAATAATAATTGACTAACATGAGGACCTCTCTGAAGAGTTTTTATGTTAACGTGCCTTCTTTTGCCTCTGTCTCTGACATTCTGTAGTTAAGTCTGCATTATTTTAGTGCCCATGATAATTAAGTAGTAATAATTTTCAAAAGACTACAGCAAGATGTTACAATGAGGGCTCCAGTAAGTGTGCTTGCCAAACCTAACAACGTGAGCTCCATCCCTGGGACCCACACGGTAAAAGAGAAGCACACGCACACGCACACGCACACACACACTTCAGAATGTGTTTAAAGGGTCTTACAGTGAAAAGTAAAATGTATAAGATTAAGAGATAAATTTTTCAAATACAGTTTTAGTAGAAATTAAATGGAATATGGTTTTAAGTTTGTAAAAGTTTTTGCCTACAGTTTTAAAACTATGTAAAATGTACAAAACTTAACAAATGCTGTGTTTTCTCATGTCTCCATGCAACATATTAATATCTGAAATGCCGTAATACATATTAAGTACAAAACTGGAAGATAGGCCAATAAATTACTTTATACACTTTTTAAGCACATCTTTAATGGGCCATATCTCTCATTTTATTTCTGGTATAATAACCTTTTAAGCAACAGTTCTTAGGGGATCACAACCTCCATGGTAATTCCAGCCCCAAGCTCTTAATTCATCTACGGAGACCATCTTCAATACTCTCTATTTAACACCACTTTTAAATATTTAGAAGTCAGATCCATTTTAGAAAGCTACATTTGATTTCTAAATATCGGGTTCTGATTTGTAGACTAGAAACCAGCTCATGCCATTCAATCAATATTTTTTAATGCAGTGCATAAAGTCCTGACAGAAAACAAGAGGCACTACAAACTGGATCCAGGTCTTTAAGTTCCCCCGAGTGTTTCAGCTGAGAGAAACCTGACTTATGCAATAGAGATTGCAGAGAAGTCAACGTGACTGGTTCCAATGCAGCTAACACACATAGCAACCAATACATACATACATACATACATACATACATACATACATATATATATATATATACATACATACATATATACATACATAAAAGCTCTGTTAGAAAAGATTTGCCAAAGGAAACATTTAATTACTCGCTGTTGGCCCATGCAGTCAACAGCAAGTTTTATTTCCTGTGTAGTTGGAATCTTGAGGATACCGCCAACCTCACTCGCCATCCTAGGTGTAGGTGCATGATGAGACCTTGGTGTGGATATGTTAGGGATACCCAAACCTCAGCATTTGAAATAAAAATCTTAATTCTAGGATTTCAAATCAAAATTGGTGCAAAATAATAATCCATGATAAGTAAACTGTAAAATTTGATAAAGAATAAAATCGTAATGTTTTTCCATTTGTGTGGGGAATCCCCCAAGACTCAGCAGAGAAGGCCTCACTCCTCGCTTGTACAACTGCTGGTAGCCTTCAGGGATACTTCATTTCCACAAATGGTGTTCATACATCAACTCTGAAATGATTGCTGGGTGACTGCTTGGCCCTCGGACTCACTCACTCCCGCTCTCTGACACTTAGATGACGCACTGTGCGTCATGGCCCACATACCCTGCTGGAGAGAGAGAGGACACAAAAGGTCTGTGATGTACCAGCATAAACGTCACAGAAGTCAGGGATTTTCTTCAGAGCTTGACTGATTTACATTGGCCTTTATTGGACGGAAAGGTAGAAAGAGAAGGATGCAGTCTTGGCCAAGCCCAGTGGTCTATTGGTGTCCCTCACTGCCATAATTTTCTTGATGTCCAGAAACCGGAAGTCCTCCTTGCCGGTCTTTCCATGTACTAAAGTTTCGAAGGTGTCAGAAAATGCTCTGCCAAGCAGTCTGAAGGTAAGAGGCACCTCCCTTGCTAGATCAACAGCCTTGGACCCAGATTCAGTTGGGGTAGGAGGACATTCTGCTCTCCTAGAGAATGAATGCCCTTGGGGTCCTAGTAAGTGGGCGTTTTCAATGCTAAACTCCACTCAGTCCCTCTAGCTACGCTACAGACCAACAGTCTCCATAGCAGTTTGGAGACATTAGGGATCCATACTAAATCCTAACTTGGGTTGTGTTGCATGGGGTGCAGGAATTGATCATCAAAGATGTTTCCTTTGGTAGATTTTAGTGGAATATTTAACCATTCTGCAATTTTAAAATTCTGAGACAATGAGTCGTGGAGAAAGCTGCTGTTCTCTTCCTGTGGGGAACCATGCCCATTGCGAGCTTGTATTGGATTATTTTCATTTTCTTCATAAAGTACCAATTAACTTGAAATTTGAGCACCCCACTCCCCTAGCAGGCTGGTGGAATAGTTCTCAAATCCAACATTATTTCCGAATAACAACGACCCCCGCTTGGTACAATTCTGTAGACCTTAAATTCTACTTTCTTAAAATTCCTACCTGGGCTCACATCGTGGCAGTGTCCTGTGTCCTCTCCCTTCCCAGCTTGGTTCCCTCTTGCTTTCCCACGATCTGACACTTTGCCATGACCTTACATGTGTCCTTTTCTCTCCTTTGGGCTGGGTAATCACCACAGGTAATTCTGATGGGACCCACATTGATGCACACGCAGATTTCTCCTGGACACCTTGACCTTTAGTACATGTTTAATCAAGGCCAACATGTCAAGCATTTCACAGCTGGCTGCATCTTCCTTCCAGACACCCCTCTCCTCATCAAAAAAGCCACCATGATGATGTCATCAGCATCATGACATCACTACCATTGCCTGTGCCTTCCCATTGCCCTGTTATCTACCATTTGCCTGGATCCTCTATCCACACACCATGTGATAGTATCCATTGCTTACCTCCATTCCCTGTTACCCAGTCATTCTTGACTTCCCAGAGGTACCTTTGCTTGCTGTCTAAACCTTTTTGTGCACCCTCAGCTATCACACACGCTGATCCTAGAGGCATCTTCTGGAAGCTTCTTACATCCTTTCTGCAGTCCAAAGACTCAGTAAGATATTCACATTGCCCTGTGTTAAGTCCAAAGCCACATTACTCAGTAGTTAACTAAACCCATGTTTTAGGTATCAACAAGGGCAGGATACCAAAGGAGAAATTGAAACAAGCCTTGGAAATAACTTCACACAGATCATTGTTTTAAAACACTGACATAGTTGTCATGTGAAAAAGTAGACCTCCATTAGACTTTCTACTTAGGTTTTACCAGGTAGTTAATTTGTATACATGTGTATGTATATATAGACCATGTGATGTTAACTTATTCTTCAAGTGATAGTTTACAAAAAAAAAATATGTGGTTTTTCAGTTATAGTTATCGAAGCCCATAAAAGTGTTATTTGGATGCTAATTAAGTGCACACTTCCAAATCTACATCATCACAAAGTAAACATGATGTGATTCCCAAACACTTTCATTAACCTATTCTCCCAACTGCTTTCCATGGCCTTTCCTTTATGCTCAGGGCTGTGCAGTGCTTTTCCCTTGCACTGATTTTATCCTTTGGGTTCTGAGGACCCAACCCTTGCTTCCATCAAAATCCTGGTTCTTTCCTTGTCTTTCTTTAAGCCTAGACTCTTGGTCCTGCCCTAAAACCTCGTCGCCCAGAGGAACAGGAATTTCTTCTTCCTCTATCTTTGCTACAATATGTCTCCCTTTCTCATAGTATTTCCCAGTTGTCACCTTCTTGTATCTCATTAGATGTCGTTTACTGTCTCCTCCTGATTTGGTAATAGATGGCAGACACCTTACTAAATCTACCCCTAGCTTTACCAGGTAAACTTGCAGGATAGTCACAGCCTAAACTAAGCACTTTTGGGAGTTTCAAATGGAGGCTTGGTGACTGTGTTTGGCTCTACTGTCTTGAAAATATTCCTTTTCTAAAATGCCTGCCATGTCTATCCTGTCATAAAAAATGTCATAAAACTTTAAAAATAATAGTGACCTGAATTACTGGGTCATTTCTTCACCTTTACCTAAGAAAATAGGCTGAGGCTTGCACAGATCTTTGTAGGCCTGTGGTCACACTTGCATTATTGGCCATAACTGAAATGACATCGACCCACTTGTCTATCTATATAAGCATTAGATGCAATAAAATGTCACTGAGCTTTACTGAGTGAATTTGTGATACATATTATTACATAAATCCTAATGACCTTCTGCTGACTGAAATAGACCAATCACCCATGGCCAAGTGTTGCAGAGGTCCATAGAAGATACTCTCATAGAATCACGAAGCAGAGCGATACCTGCCTGCCAGGGCTCAGGGCAGGGGGAGCATGTGAAGGGTTGAGCTTCAGTTATACACAGAGGGAAGGTTCTGGAAGATGTCAGTGCTTGTGGTTATAAGGCAATGTGGATGCAAATCATTTGAGAATATCCCTGATCCTACAGAGCTATAAAGCTGAAAATAGTAAAAGTGCTAAAGTGTGTGTGTGTGTGTGTGTGTGTGTGTGTGTGTGTATTTTACCACAATGCAAAATCATCAGGGAAGACTGCTGGAAGACCTCTTAAGTGAAGGGCCATATGCACTGATAGTGAAACTCTGGGGGTGGATTTTGGAACTGCCTCTCACCACTTAATGAAACCTAAGACATCACAGCACACTTTGTAGCACTTTGATATTCAAACTTTTTACTGGAGTCGGACATAATTATTGTATGAAAAGGAACGTGCCGTGATCAAAGTCGTGTAAGCTATTAATTGTATCAGGAGTTTGCAACTTACAGTGATATTTGAAATTTTCCTAGTCAACTCAAACTTTTCTAAAATTATTAAAATGTTAAATATTTCCTCTGTGGCTAACATTTTGAAAATGCATAAAACTTTATGGCTGTCAAGTTAATACATGTCTATTATAAAATATTCAAGCACTTAAAAATGCATTACCTTGTGTTTAGTACTCTGGCATTGGCAACAGCATACTGCAGCTACTCAGGAAGCTGAGATGGGAAAATCACATTCACTCAGGAGTTCAAAATGAGCTCTGTGTAAAATAGCAAGATTCCATCTTAATAAACACATACTCACACACACACTTACATCTATTTTATATATAGCATATATACATCCATATATAATATATGTTCTAGAAATAAAACTTCTTCATAATCACATGATGGCTTTTATTTTTAGGATATACATTTTGTATGTATTTAAATTTTTTAGAAAGAAAACAGTTATTGTTGACTTACACAAATTACATCGGCATTAACACTTTACTTAAAAGTAACTGTCTAGATTCCCTGATCTCCATGGAAACAAAGCCAATAACATGTATAAGCATAGGCAGAGATTTACTAAGAGAGGTTGGTTCACCTGGGAAGGGAAGGACTGGACCTCTCACAACCTGTTATCTGCAAGCTGGAAGTCTGAGAAAGGCTACAGCCTTGTTCCTGATCAAGGCCAGTGGCTGATGGCTGGGAGTGAGGTTGTGTGGGGAAAGAGGAAGGTGAGCACCCATCTCCTCAAGTGAAAATAAATGTGCAGCACTCACTGGCTTGGGTGATGCCCACCATACCACCAAGAATCAGTGTCTTTGTTCAGACAGCCATTTCAAATGCCGATCTCTTCTTGAGACACACTCATCAACTCTCACAGATGATGTTTTAACAACTAGCTGGGCATCTCTTAGACCAGTTGTGTTCACATATGAAATTGACCATCGTATCCTTTGCTATCTTCTTAACCTCCTGGACAACTATTCCACTATGAGGGCATGCCTTAATCCATACTCCAATTATGGGGAGTGTTTCCTAGCCACACAGAAGTATGTTGAGATTAATAAGAATACACTTCTCTATGAAAACCTCACTGTGTTTCCAAGTAGCAATGGCTAGATCAAGTTAAAAGTGTGATTGTAACTTTAACAGGATAAAAATTTAATTCTCCTTTGGCCCTAAGTCACTTTGCAGCACTTTGATTGACTCTGCATACCCAGGTGAGAACATCCAAACCTGTCCCAATGAGTTTTCTCAAGCTTTGGTTTGTGTAAGTGTGAAATATAATCCAGCTATTGGAAGACTTCAACCTGAGCCTATAACTCTCCACACCCTGTACTTCAGCTTCCCTTCAGAACCAAGGGCAGTGAGGAACTGGAAATCTACAGTTATCCTCCACTAAGATATGTACCCCTCTCAGTTCCTTCTGTATTTGTTCATCTGCTCACTCTACTGTCTTAAAGCTCGCCACTTCACAGACAATGCCCTCTCAAAATCTTGTAAATCCCTTCTCTGACTCTGCAATCTTACCACCCACCACAAATCCACACCCCGAATCTTTGATTGTTTTGACTTGGATAATTATGATGTTTGTGGGCCCCAGAAGTACATGGGTGACCCCGTCACTTCTGTTGTGTCTTGTTAGCTCCTCACGATCATGGCCAATTATAGACAGGCTGTAATTACTCCATATTACTCTCAGTTAGGTGGCCTACAACTGTTTATTTGGTAATTATTAAAGAAAAAGCACAGGGTGTTATAGCTGTTTCCAGGCCTGTACTGTTAAAACAAAGCCTGTAGCAAGAAAATGGACCCTGTATTAATTTACTCAGAGGAAAAAAATGACATTTAATCCTTTGTTTGATACTCGTTGATGTGGGCCACTGGAAGAACATATCTAAAATACACATTATATTTTAACCCTTCTACCTGTAAATGCTCTCTGTAAATACAAAACCCCTTCAAACACTAATTCTTCATTTCTGAAGGAATATTTTAGAGTAATTGTTCAAGAGCCAAAATATTCTACCTCATAGAAAATTAACTTAATCGTAGTGTTTATACATATTCTTATTTTTTCCCTCTCTAGTTAAAAGTTATTTACCCATCTGTGCCTAGGGTTAAAAATAATGAGATTCAACCACAAAGATGAGTAAATAATATATAATTGTAGTGTTGGAATTTATCAATTAGAGTGGTTGCCTCTATATTCGCCTTTCTTTTGATCTTCCTGTAGACATATTGTTATTGACTGCAAATGTCTCAGTATTTTTGCTCATTGGAATGTGCTTTGACAGATTAATTATATGTTATCAGGCAGTTGAAGATCAGCTAAAGATATGTGGCCACAAGAGAGATCTTGACGTCTTGGAGCTGTTCCTTTCTAAAAAGTAAGTGTACTTCATGAAAAATTAAAGAAAAAAAATCCACACAGAAGAGTATCATTTTACAGTCTTTTATAGAGACAAATGTATTTTCATTACACCTTCTTTAAGGACTGACTGGGTAAGTGACCACAGTCTAGTTACTATACCACAAATGAGGGTCTACTACTTACACTGGAGAGGCAAGACATTGAAAAGGATTAAAAGACAGAGGTTCTTGAGCCAGGCTGCCTCAGGATGATCCTGACATGTTATGTAACTTTCCTGGTAGGATTATCACATTTAAAAACAAATAAAACACTGATATGAGTTTTAGAAATATGAGTTTTAAAATATGCGTTTTAGAAAAACACTGGATATAACTTTAGTATCATTATGTCCCAGACAATATGCGATACTTTTCAAAACCTGCAAATATCTACAAGATACCTTTTACTTCATTTAGCAATCCTATTCTTGTATAATAATACAATCTTATTGCAGGATTGCTGTGACATTGAGAGTTAGAAACTAGAGATCTGGTACATAATAAGTACTCAGTTATTATGATGATGATTATGACGAATAGTGTTCCACTGTTCTTATACTATAAAAACAATTCTTTTGCTATAACCCATAAAAACACTTATGTTAATTTTGTTAGTAAACAAGAAAATCTCTCCTTTACATCAAGGTGGTGCTTTAGAGAGCACAGTTATCCCAGTGTCTGAGACAGACTCCAGGCATAGGTGGGAGAGGATGTGATGGGTACAGTTTGACTCTGACCACAGTGCATTTCCACTGGCCAATAAGTGGCCTTCTGCACAACCACTGTTTGAATTTTAATAGCAATAACACTACTCTGACTCATATGTGGCCCCCAAAACTCGTACTTTAGAAAGTAAATCCCTACTGCAGCAATATTGAGAAACAAGGCCATTGCGAGTTGATTGGGCCATGGGAGCATTGCATTTCTTTCCTGGCTTAATGCCACTGCCACCAAAACTGGCTGAGTTTGTTCCCCAACACTCACACATCTTCACCAGGTCATGATGCAGCAAGAGGGCCAGATGCTGACTGACCTTGGACTTAACAATCCATCTTCTGTTGGTGAGGACAGGAGTAAGGGAAAGAACGTGAGCAAGAGAAGTATGATCTGCAACGGTGTCACACCATACCCATGCATACCCATGCACACCCATGCACACCCATGCACATCCATGCACACCCATGCATACCCATGCCACTGCTCCGTATTTTCTTTCCTCTTCTCAGGCAAGCCATGCCACTCCCATCATTCTGAGAGCTGGCTTGTGGATGTCTTTGTGCCCCTCTGTGCTGGTCACCTTCTTTAGGTTCTTAGGTGTGTTGGTGCTCACCTTCAGGGCCCAGACAGGAAAGGCAACACCATAGCCACAGTGCTTAGAAACATGGCCCCTCCTTGAGGCTAGCACAGTCCTTCCAGTTAGTGAGTACCTCAAAATCCCCTAGAATAGTAACAATAGAGATAATCTGGAAGTTACAGCTAACCAGGATTCCCCCCTTGGCCATTAGCTCTTTAAGCATCAGAATAAATGAGTTACTATTTAGGGACCACACACCCTAAAAGCATATCTCTGACATTGTTAGGATCATTCTTTCTGACAGAATCTGAGGAAGAGACAAAGATTCATCTTGTGCCTCCTGCTTAACCTGAGCCTCAGCAAATCTGTTCTTTATTAAAAAAAAAATTCTCAGGTAGTGGGTTATAGTGAAACAAAATGGACAAAGACTGGATTGCTAATCATTTTCATTAACTCATTATATTGTTTTGTATTGGGAGCTGGGTAGAAAACAACTTCAGGGAATAAATTCTTTGGTTTTACCATGTGGGACTCGGGATTAAACTCAAGCTAATAGCTCAGCCTGCTAGTTCCTTTAACCCAGTGTCATTTCATTGGCCCTGTGCTTTTGATTTTTTTTCCCCTTCTTGGGCCTCGCTGGCCATGAATAATTTGTGTGTTATTATATAATATGGCATGGCATATATTTATTTATTTAAAATCTTTGAAATCCAGCCTCACTCTAATGAAACATTCCAGTTTAACGATGAATTTAATCACTGTGTCTACGGTGATTTGAGAAATTATTCATTAATAAACATATTTCTTTGGTAATATTAAATAGTTATTTTTAACTTATTACAGAAAATGTGTAACTTTTTTAGTGGCTCTGAATTGCTTGTTGGTAAGATAAAGAAGAGATCCTCTACTTGAAATGTAAGCCAATGCTTGGGTATAAAGCATTAGCCACACACTTTGCCCAGCATGGACATGGCTTTGATCCTTAGCTTTAAACAAACAAATAAATGTTTTAGAATATAATATATATAACCAAAAATTTGAATATGTTCAAGGTCATGCTTTGAGTCTTTCTAGAAATCAATTCAATTTATAACAATAATAAAAATGTATATGGTCAAAATGTTGCAGCAATAAGCCTTTTGCAACTCCAGCAATGGCATACCATTGATCACAAGAGTGGGTAGATAAAAAGGATAGCTTTAAAACACTAGAAAAATTAGAAATACTCTGGCTATCGGTGATTAGTGGTCTTCTTATATGAAAGATAACAGAGTCGGCGCAAAAAATATTTCAGAGTCTATATGAATAAGCTTGGTGGGCTTTGCTTAAATTCCTGTTGCTCTTACAATGACAGTGTCTTCTCAGTGTCTCTTGGTAACTGCAAGGCATATACTCTGTAACATGTATTGACATATAGTTGTCAGCAGAAGTCATAGCATCATTAGTAGTAAATTTATACCTCATATTCTTGCTTGGCCCCATCTTAAAATATAACATCGTATTCTTGTTGCAGGACAGGCTTGTGTGCAGAGTAAACGCTCTCAGCTCGAGAGCCCTTTGTTTAAAAAGTGAATCGCTTTGTTATATTTATGTAATACCACATCTTCAGCATCTATAATATTACTATAAGAAAACTGATGAGGACAACTGGACCCATTGATAATGTACTAAAGGATCCAAATGTACAGGAAATTCCCAAAGAGAGGCTCAAAGTCATTATACTTCTAAGTAGAGGTCATTGTGATTACATCAACAAAGAGTTGGTGTTAACATGCTATCATCACTGTCCAGTGCCGGAGTCAGATGCTCCATGTTCCAAAGAGTCCTTCCCAGAAACAGACTGCAGACTACAGACAGAGAGGGGGAGAGAGAGAGAGAGAGAGAGAGGGAGAGAGAGAGAGAGAGAGAGAGAGAGAGAGAGAGAGAGAGAGAGAGAAGAAGAGGGAGAGAGAGAGAGTAGGAGAGGGAGAGGGAGATGGGGAAAGGGGGAGAGGGGGAGAGAGAGAGAGGGAGAGAGGGAGAGAGGGAGAGAGGGAGAGAGGGAGAGAG